AAAGGAACAAGCTACTGATACACACAATAACTTGCATGACTCTCCAGAGAATTATACTGAGTAAAAACAGTTGACCCACCCTAGGCCTACAAAATCAAAGTCTCTAGGGATTGGGCCCAGGAATTTTCTATAGAATCAATGTATCCCTCATATCCAACATATTCTTATTTGGATCTCCTTTTTGTTTATGAATTAAACACTTGTTTGATAGGTTTCAGGGAAATGTGAGGACATCATAAAAATAAGACAGGTGGTAACCATCATGGGAAAATATAAATCAGTGACAATCTCTCACTAAATATCACTAAAAAATTAGTGACAATGTTATTTGATAACATTTAAAAGTAATACTGGCATTCAGTAATCATCTTATTCCTCAACATTCACAGAGGACGAAGTAATAACACATCTGCTTCATGATAACTTAGTACCAATTCAAAAGATTAAGACAAATTAACACCTTGCTAACTGATCCCTTGCATTTGAGAGTATCCTAGGGGATGCATAAACCAAATCAATTACAAAAACCAGCCACCAGCTTTGTAACACAGGTAGGTTTCATTTTTGAGCAAACAAAGTGGGTATTTGCCAATATTGTAATTATAATATATCCAATGTAAATTATAATAGTAAAACAATATAGTAGCAATAAAGAATATGTAATAAGTAATGTAAAGAAAGACATTTAAAAAGTGGATTTTGCAATAACATCTGTTTTCACTGTATAGGAAATAGTTTTTACTATATCAGAAAATCAAAACATTGTAAACATTAGATTTCTAGTTAATAATACAATAGCTAATTTGATTAACATTTTTCATTTATAAAAGCTTAACTTCTTCAATAATGCAGGCCAAGTTTTGATGCATAAAAATAAGACTTAAATACTAATCAACATCGCACATATGATTTAATAATTGGAAAATAAATCTATGTATAATTTTGTGTTAGAATAATTCTAACTACCCTTACCCCATAGTTGCCAGTAAAAAAAAAAAAGGAAATGTGTTCTCCTAAATAAAAGGACTACATTAATGTTATATTCAATGAGCACATTCCTTTAAGACTGAGCCCCCAAATCACAGTGGCATTAAAAAAAAAAACTATTTCAGAATTAATGATCAAGCTTAAAATTTTATTTAACAAAAAGAGCACATAAAAATGAACTGCAGAAAATCAGAAACAACAAAATGTCCAAAATGAGAAGATGATTGGCTACATTATGGCAGAGTCATAAAATGTAATATAATAGGCCATTCAAAGAATAAGCATATAGGTACACATGTCCTGGTCTAAAGAGTCATTCATGATAAAGTCAGTGAAAAAAACCACATGTTTACAAAAGGTATAATCTCATATTTTGTTTTAAAAAGTAATTAGATGTACATAAAAGTGTTTTTTCTTGGGTTTGTTTTTTTTTTTTTGAAATAGAGTCTTGCTCTGTCACCCAGGCTGGAGTGCAGTGGGGCGATCTCAGCTCACTGCAACCTCCGCCTCCCAAATTCAGGCGATTCTCCTACCTCAGACCCCTGAGTAGCTGGGACTACAGGCACCCACCAGGCCCAGCTAATTTTTGTATGTTTAGTAGAGAGAGGATTTCACCATGTTGGCCAGGCTGGTCTCGAATGCCTGATCTCAAGTGACCCGCCCACCTCAGCCTCCCAAAGTGCTGGGATTACAGGTGTGAGCCACCATGTCCGGTGAGGGTTAATCCATTTATTTTTTAAATCTGGAAAAAGTATGCACCTAACCTTTTGGGGGACAGAATTGGCATTTTAATTTCTAATTTAGGCATTTCTATAATGTTTGAATTTTTATAAGGAGTATACTGTCAGAGAAAAGGTATTAAAACAATGGAAACTTTTAAAACAAGTTATCAATTGTCTGAAATATAATGCTTAAAAATACAAAAATACCTATATTAGATTTTGGCAATTTTTACGGTTTATATCTGGGGTTGGGAAAACTACCACCTAGGCCAAATCTCTTACATCTGTTTTTTGTATAGCCAGCAATCTAAAAATGGGTTGTACATTTTTTAATGGTTGGGTGAAAAAAAATTAAAATAATTTATAATACATACAAATTTTATCAAATTTAAACTTTAGTGTCCATAAGTAAAGTTTTATTGGAACACAAATATGATCATTCATTTATAGGTTGTCTGTGGCTGCTTTTGTATTAAAAAGGCAGAATTAAGTACACACAGCAAAGACCTTATGTGGCCCTCTAGTTGTTTCACACTGCTGCTCGGCACTACAAATCATAATGAGAAAGTTATGCCATGTATAGCTCTTGTCTGGGTGAAATGTCACATTCAAAGATGATATGTAAAATTTCATACAGATCAGCATTAGCAGATGAACATTTGCAATTGTTTTGATGATATGGAACACTAACTTTTAACTAGAATTAAGTGAAATGTTATCCCTCTAAAAAGAATTCCCTCTTCTCATTACAGCTGTATTACAAAAAATGCATTCAATTATATTTTGAAATTTTGTCCTTTAAGAATTTGTGAAAAATTGTGTGCTCTCTTATATTAGTACCTACATGGTATCTTTGATTTTACCTCTTGACCTCAAGAGTCTAAAATTTTATTATGTGATACATTACAGAAAAAGTTTGCTGACCCGTGGTTTCTACTGCATGTCTTTATGTCTTGGTTTCTGTGCTACAACACCATTAAATCATTTATCTTTTGGCAGGGGAAGGAGATGAGCTTAGCTAATTTATGCTTAACTTTAACAGGGGCTTTAAAAATATTTTTAAAATATATTCATAGCAACTGTGTTGCTGATAATCATAATAGCTACTTCACAAATGTCTGAGATACATAACCTCCTTTCAAAATGGCATAGTTATTTCACCAAAACAATACCTAATTTTTATAAGTGCTACCTATCTCTCCATGTTCAGTTTTCCTTTTTAGTACATTTTTAGAAAACAAATGCAGTACATACTCATTTTCAGGAAAATATGTACCCACATTATTAACTGTGACAAGTGAAACGCAATAAATATACATGTTCATAATTTTTCCTCTAACCAAAAAAATATAAAATAATCCCTTTTGGGATAGTCACAAGACTAGTCTCAGCTGGCGAGGGGGGGAGGCGTACACATAATGTAAATAAACTGTGTACATTACACAATGTAATGAATATATACATTCTAGCTCTATCCCCCAGGCTAGAATGACACGATCTCAGCTCAGTGCAACCTCCACCTCCTGGGTTCAAGCAATTCTCCTGTCTCAGCCTCCCAAGTAGCTGGGATTACAAGCATGCATCACCACATCATTTTTATGCTTTTAGTAGAGACTGAGTTTCTCCATGTTGGCCAGGCTGGTCTTCAACTCCTGACCTCAGGTGATCTGCCCACCTCAGCCTCCCAAAGTGCTGGGATTACAGGCATGAGTCACCACGCCTGGCCAGATTATTATTATTTCAATAATTAAATGGAGAATACATGAGTTATACGCGTAAAAATACTGAACATTTTCTCTTTGGAACTCCCTTCCTTTAATCCATTCAGTTAGACACTAAGGGCCTATAAGCTAGAGCTAAGCCCTAGAAATTAAAAAGAATAAGTCACAGCCTGTAATAAAGAACACAGTCTACATCTACCTTGTTATTTTTCCATTTCAATCAAAGTTCCCGAAACTGACAGGATTTGGTGCCTAATTATTAAGGAAGTTATGGGAAAAAAACCTGAAGAGGCAAAGATGACTCAAAGGTTCCCAGCCTAAGTGAACAAAGGCTGTATTTACAAGGAAGTCCACAGGAAGAGACTGATAGCCAACAAGACTCTTCATGGAAAAAAAAAAAAAAAAAAAAGACTCTTCATGATCTGGCCTCTGAAGCCTCACTTTTTTGCCTGCACTGCCTTGATCCCTACACCAAGACCATGGACTTGCAGTTCCCAGCAAGTACTGTGCCCTTACACGCCTCTAGGTGTTTGTCTTCATCTTTATATCCCATTCTTTGGTGTGGCTAATTCATGCTTAACATTTCAAAATTCAGTTCAGATGTAACTTCCTCTGGAAAATCTTCCTCTAACAGACATCCAGACTCATAGTTCACTGGAAAGGTTCCTGACTGCTCCTGTGTTCCGGTACAGAGTAAGATTCTGCAGGCAGGAATTTTATTTCCTACTCTGCATCCCAGTGATTAAGGCAACCTGACATACAGTCAATATGTCATAAATAGCCAACGAAAAAAAATAATTTTCTTTTTTAATTTCCTAAATGAAGACTTGAGA